CCAAAAGAGGTTGACCTGCAAGGACCCTTACAGGATACCTTGGACAATTTGTCTACTTGGGCTATTCAGCTAGGTATCGAATTCTCCACGGAGAAAACTGAGTTGGTCGTTTTTTTCTAGGAAGCATAGCCCAGCACAACCGAAGCTTCAACTTTTGGGTAAAGCGATCACTCATTCCATGTCTTTTAAATATCTCGGGGTCTGGTTCGATTCCAAATGCACCTGGAGATCCCGCATTGAGTATCTGAGACGAAAATGCCAACTAAGGATCAATTTCCTTCGATCAATTACCGGAACGTGGTGGGGAGCCCATCCACAAGATCTTCTGACGTTGTACCGGACAACGATTTTATCGGTTTTAGAGTACGGTAGTTTTTGCTTCCAGTCGGCAGCTAAAACGCACATCATCAAGGTGGAACGGATCCAGTATCGTTGTCTTCGTATCGCGTTAGGATGCATGCACTCGACTCATACTATGAGTCTCGAAGTGCTGGCGGGCATGTTGCCACTATCCGTCCGTTTTTCAGAGTTATCTCTGAGGCTCCTCACCCATTGCGAAGTAATGAACCCACTGGTGATCGAAAACTTTGAGAAGCTTCTGGAGCTAAATCCTCAAACATGTTTTATGACTTTGTACTACCTATATTTAACACAGGATGTCAGCCCTTGAAGAAATATTCCTAATCGTGTAGTCTTCTATGATTTCGGCAATTCAGTGAATTTTGATTTATCTATGACGCAGGAAATCCGCGGAATTCCAGAGCATCATCGTCCTATGATTGCTCCGTCATTATACGCTGCAAAGTTTGGCCATGTTGATTCTGCAAGAACGTTTTTCACAGATGGATCTCTAATAGAGGAGTCCGCTGGTTTTGGTGTATTTAATGAATTTCATAGCGCCTCTCGAAAACTTGAAGCTCCTTGTTCTGTGTATGTGGCTGAACTGGCAGCAATTCACTACACTGTGGAAACTATTGCTTCACTTCTTCCAGACCACTACTTTATTTTTACGGATAGTCTCAGTTCTGTCGAGGCTATCCGTTCCATTAGGCCGGTAAGGCACTTCTCGTATTTTCTCTTGAAAATACGAGAGCTGCTTAGTGCTTTATCCGTGCGCTCTTTCATCATCACCTTCGCGTGGGTCCCTTCGCATTGCTCAATTTTGGGCAATGAGAAGGCGGATTCACTTGCGAAGGTGGCGCTATGGAAGGCGACATTTATGATCGACAAATCGCCTATAGTGAATTTTTCTCTATTTATCGTCAGCAGTCGCTGACGTGAAGGGAGCTTGGGACGATGGCTACATTCAATTATCCCTAAGGTGTCGAAGTTTGCATGGTTCAAAGGGTTGGACTTGAGTCGAGACTTCATACGCGTGATGTCTCGTCTCATTTACAATCACTATTGTCTAAACGCTCACTTGTTCCATGTGGGGTTCGGAGACAGCAATCTCTGTGAATGTGGACAAGGTTACCAGGACGCTGATCACATCCTTTGGTCTTGTGCGGAGTATCGTGGAGTCAAATCACATTTTTATGATTCCCTTCGGGCTCGAGGTAGACAACCTAATGTTCCAGTTCGGGATATTTTGGCTAGACGCGATCTGGAGTTTATGAAACTCATATATGTTTACTTTAAGGATATTAACCTTAGATTGTAAGTTTGATTAACCTTGTGTTAAGTTTGTGTTTTGTACGTCTGGGGTTTTTTTTTCTCAATGTTTGTTTTCAAGATGAATAGAAATAATTTCATGCTTTAGGATTAATTAAATAGTTGTATCGTAAACCACATTTAAAACCTCCTTCTTCCCTTTTCCCATCCAAAAAATTGTAAATCTCCACTAACCTCGAGACGACCGCGAGTACTCGGTCCAGTTCCTTTAACTTTAAATATAAGACAGTAATAATGTATAACGCAAAGGATAACTCGGCTCTGTAAAGTTTATTCGATTGAGCCTGTACAAATAAAGTAATTACGAAAAAAAAATGTGCTTTTAAAATTGATTTTTCGCTCAATTTTGAGATATGCACACTAAGATTATTTTACCGAAATCTGTGAAATTTTACCGAAATCTCAACAGCTGAACGTTTTTCACAGATATTCGGTGAAAAATTACAGGAAATCTGTGAAAAATCACCGAACTGTTTACCGAACGTTCAGCTATTGAGATTTCGGTAAAATTTAACAGATTTCGGTGAAATAATCTTAGTGTGTACTGTATATGTGATCAAAAATAAATATGGAATTTTGGAGAATCTATAGAAAACTTTTGGAAAATCTCAGCATTAAATTTCCGAAGCACTCTAAGGAGGATTCTAGCGAACTTCCAAAGTATTTCTGGAAAATCATAAATCAAATCTACAAAATAACAGAAAATCGGATTTACACGACATGTAAATATTCGTATACACTGGAGTCGCTTTTTACGCGGTTTTTTTTTACACGGTTTTTTTTTACGCGGTTTTTTTTTACGCGGATTTCGGAATTTACGCGGTTTTTTTTTACGCGGATTCCGGAATTTACGCGGTTTTTTTTTACGCGGATTTTGGTTTTTTTTTACGCGGATTTCAGAATTTACGCGGTATATCGCTTTTTACGCGGTTTTTTCTTCCACGGTTTTTTTTTTACTCGGTTTTTTTTTACGCGGATTTCGGAATTTACGCGGTTTTTTTTTACGCGGATTCCGGAATTTACGCGGTTTTTTTTTACGCGGTTTTTTTTTACGCGGGACGTATCACCCGCGTAAAAAGCGACTCCAGTGTAATCCCAACAGAATTTTCAGATATTCCCAAATTGAACGGAAATGGAAACGTCATTTTAAGATGCTCTAATTGTGTGATTTGATCATATGAATAAAAGGGTTTACTTTACTGCCGTTCTACGCATAACCGTCCCATGTTCTATGCAATCCTTATGCACCGTGGGACTCTTATGCGTATAATGGCAGTTTACTCGCTCCGTAAGAAAAGCAGGGGAAAGTATATTAGTTATTTTATTCATGCGGCCTATTGATTGAAGAATTGATCATCTTGCATAGAAATTACACACTTAAACAGAGACCCTGAGTTCGGTAAAAAAAAATACCGTCTTAGATCGGTAATGCTAAAAATTACAGATGTTTCTGTATTTTCTCGCTTTATTGCTGAAAACTGTAAATGAAATGGCCAAATTTCGGAAAACGGTAAACATTTTTACCGGTAGGTCTTCGGTGAAATATTTTACTGAAGTTTCGGTAAACAAAGCGTTCCATTACTGAGTTCGGTAACGGTCTTGGTAAACGTCAAATCCACCATATTGTGATTTTCGATCAACTTTGAAAACGTTCGTGTTTGTGAAAAATAAAAAAGTGAATTATGAAAGCTGTTATGCAACACCAAGATGAGCGAATCGTAGATATTTTCCGTAAGTAATTAATTTTCGTTATCTAAATAAATACCGATAACAGATGGCCGATGTTGTTGCTTGTTTTTTTTCTGTCGGTCCAAGTTCCATTCCCGTTGGCGACGATCTGAAAACTGCATTTGGAATCTTCATCTAATGATTCCCTGTTTTCAGTGTAGCATCGAATCCTTCCGACAAAAACTTGTTTTTGTTCATTGGTGGAGCAATTTGCAACACTAACACATTGATCACGATTGCAGCCAAATTTTTGCATGGGTTGCAGTGACCGCCACCTTGAAACAATATTAAAGCAAATTACAGTTGAGTCGGTTAGGTTTTTAAAAAATTACAGACCTCTCAGTAATTTTCGATTTGCATATCGTCCTCAAAATTACAGTTCCCCGGTAAAGTCGACTACAAATTCGACAACTAATTTTGCTGATCCTGTTTACAGATTTTTCGGTAATGTTCTCGATTACCGATACCATCACCGACCGTTCAGCTGTTGAGAATTCGGTAAATGAATTACCGAAGTCGGTGATTTTTTCTAAGTGTGTAGGAGTTATACTGCCCATAATCGCATATCAGTCCCACCTTTGCTTGATTTCCTATCCATATGGGACTGATATGCGATTATGGGTAGTATATATGTATTGAAATAACTTTTCCCATTAAGCATGATTGCAATTTGAACTATTTTTAGTTTGCACGGCGTACAGATTAACGGGGTTTAAATTAAAAGGTGTTCAGATTAACCACCCTAATTTTTTTTTTTATTCATATAATTATAACCTCTCTGCCTATCACATGTGATGTGCAATATTTCATACAATTCGGAGACCCTTCGACCCAAAAAAAATGTCCGATTATCAGGATAGCGGCCATTCGTTTGCTATAAACATTTGTTTTTCAGTATCTGAAATCATTTGTTGTTATGTATACTGAGTTACTGAGTGAGTTTCAAGAAGGGTATAATGTATGTGTTTGATACATAAAATCTGCCAATTTTGCTTTTAGAGAGTCACAATCAGCAATTTAATAATCTGTCACTATTCACTCTTCATGAAAACTGAATATTCATTGACGAGGCTTGGTAACTCAATTATCTTCCTTGCAATTTTTCACTTTGCCTTATTCCACTAGATTTAAATGAAAATGAATTCTGCTTTAACCAACCGATCGCGCACCACTTACCACAGTTAAATATTGATCTAAAATCACTAACGCAACTATCTTTCCCGTGAAAGCCGTAGAGATATGCAGAGGTGTATTCGGTCTCTAGTAACAATGGACGTCGAACTAATCATCCATCCCTCCCAAAAAGACCGTGAGGACGTTACCGGCGCTGTGATTGATCTATAAATAGTGTGAATTAGCGTGCTTGTACATTAAAGATGGAAAGCTAATCCCATGCACCATCTACGTGGTTCTCTGTGCAAGTGCAATAGTTCTGATCAATCACGGAGGAGCGAGCAACTACGAAATGCACGGTCTTTTCTAAAAAAATAATTAAAAATATTTATTGATTATCAAGTTATGGCTCTCTGAAAGCAAGATTGTGAGATTGTGACCATCACTACTGAGAAAAAAAAGAAATTACTTCTTTTCGTTCGTTCCGTTCCATAGGTTCATTATTTATTGCCGCTAGGCACAACGAAAACAACACACAATCATATCTCACACACGCACTCTCGCACCTAGTATCGCATCAAACAAAATGATAACTAATTTCCGCTCTTAAAATTAATCGAATACGAACCGGTCGACGGATCCTGTTGCATCGCAAAGTTCTGCGTCGACAGACCGAACGGGCGTAGTATCATGTTGCCCAGGTCCTTTAGCTTACCCATCATTTCCTCTTTGAGTCGCTCGTTGCGTTCCTCAATCTTCGGCGGCAGTCGGGTTTGGGCCGCTTTCGCTTCCACGTTGGCCGGATCCAGCTCCAGAATCTTTTTGAAATCTTCCAAACTCTCGTCCAGCTTGTCCGCCTCCTCGTACAGGGTCGCACGCCTGGAAGTGGATTCAATAATACTTGAAGGAAACGATGTACCACCGGTAGCATGAGTGAATTAACAGTAGTGGTGCAATCGTAAAGGAAGTATATTTATACCATAGACAAACAGACATCACGCATTTAACGACCAATTTAAAGTTTTAATTGGTAGTACCGCAGCCTGTGGCGCGCATAGTCAATTCCCTTGCCTTTGATGTTTACACTCTTTCGCCAGTACACTGATAAATTGAAATATTCCCATTTTGCTTGAAATTTAATCAATTTGACATTAACTCAGTTTAATCATATCGAATGATTAAAAATGAATCCTCTTTCTAAAAAATAAGTATCTGATATTAATCCCAGTTAAATCATGGTTGATTAGATTGAAGATTATCTTTTTTTGAATAAATTTCAATCATTTTAGATTCTATTTTAATAATTTTTGATTGAATTTTAATCTTTTCTAATTTGATATAAGTATTGAAAAAGAATAAAATTTAATACTAGAAAGATTATTTCGATTTTAATCATGCATGACTACTGCCGAAGTAATCATGGCTCGGACTCAATAAGGTGAAGCGGGAATCTGCATATTTTTTAAGCTTTTTTTATTTAATTTATCTTTGAGTGTACGCTCAACAGCTGCCCGTCACAGTGTACTCAACAGATGGCAGTAGTGTTTTAGCGGCGATGTAAATAATATTCAATGAGTTATGCCTGTTTGTCTGTGCTTATACCGCATGCAGATAATTTGTAATAAGAATGAGTAATAAAAATAGTGTGCATTGAACAGTTCTTACCTCAGCAACGCCTTCAGGTACATGGGATTGTGCTCTATCGCTTTGGTGCAGTCATCGATGGCCGAGGGTTTAAAGTTAAGTTTGGTTTTTGCTGCCGCTCGATTGGCGTAAAGAATCGACCTTTCCGCCGAGTATTCCACCGGGCAAACCCGAAGAGCTTCCGTATACACTTTTGCGGACTTTTCAAATTCGCCCTGCTTGAACAGGTCGTTTCCTTGAGCTTTGAGCTCATCCGCTTTCGCCTTGTTGGCTAGCTTCTCTTCTTCAGTTAATCCTTTCTCCCAGTCCCGCTGCGATTCGTCATCTATAAAATCATCATCGTCTCTGCTTTCCGACTTGCTCCCGTTCTTTTCCTCGTCACTTTCGGCATCGCTTTTACAATCCACAAATTTATCCGCTTGTTCCGAAGAGGCAGATGTGTTTGTGTTCAGCGAATTACCAATGTGCACTCCCGCCACCTGCTCGATGACTTCGTCTACGGCCTTTTCGTTGAATTCCTTACTCGAAGCATCCTCGAATCGTTCCTCGTCACTAGCGGATGTGTCTGCTTGCTTCGGAATTGAATCCATTACGGAAGGTGGTTCACCAAAATCAACGAATAATTCGCACACACAATGATTATCTTTAATTCCACCACTCAGTAAATGGATCGTACACTAAACTCACTAGATTTTGTTAACGATTTCGAATTCAATCACTATTTAAGAAGTTATAAGAAATTTTCTTTTTTATCACTGAAAACTCCTGCTCACAGCTGTTTATTTCCTTCTCAGACTCTCGCCCTCTTGCCTTTTTGTTTGACATTTCCATCATGATTCATGATGCACAGTCATTCAAACTTCCCCAGTGAATGAGTAAATTTATATTTCTATCTCTTTTACTCTCAATTCCGGTGCTCAACAACTCACCATATACACTCAAAAATATTACTAATTTTAGAATGATTCAAATTTATATTTACATTTTATGATTAATCAATATATCAAGAGCAAATTTTCATTACGTCGAATGTAACAAAGGTAAACAAAGTCGAGCTATCAGTGTCAATCGATTCTCCTGCTATTACACTATATACTGTCCGAATATAGGATCAAAGCACATTTTTAAATTTATTTACCAGTCAAATTGCTTTTTGACGTAATCACCTTCCGATCAAAATAGTTTTCGATGTTACTTAAGTCACCCAATTTCTATGGAGATGCCGTTTGACTTAAGTAACAGCGCTGAGAAACCCGTGAAAAGTGTACACACCAAATTTCTTAAATTCCATTCGGTACTTTTTTTTGCTGAATTCGTTCTGTAAAATATAATTTTTACCGAAAGCTTTGTAAAATATATTGTTATACCAACTTTCAGCAATAAATAATACTGAATTTCCGTACTTTCCGAAAATTACCGAAAACTGTAAATAAAAATTACTGATCTAAACTGTAAATTACTGCAATTCTACAATACTGTGGCGAACGTACTGTAAAAATAGTCTTTTACAAAAACATACGGTAGTAAAGTACCAGATTCTTGTAAAAAATTACGGAACAGATTTGTAAATGTCAAACTGTCAAAAACATCCTTTGCCGCTATTTCCAGGTTGAGTGTTCTTTGGTTCTCCTGTGTGAAAAGTAAGTACTTTAATATTTTTCTTTAGTCCGCTGAATCGACGGAGTGGATAATTATTTTACTTTCAATTCAATTCTAGGCCATCGCTGCCAGTCATCTTGGACTTAAGGCGACCTTATGTTACCCTCAGCTGCAAAAAGCCAATGTCATGTGTGCGCACGTTGCCCTTGCTGGACCTGGACCTGGATAACCCTTTTCTAGGCGTCGCAAATATTTAAATTAATTGATTTTTTGGTGTTAAATAAAACGTTTGCTGTGTTGTAATCATTTAATTTGATGAAAACACAATAAGACATATCGATGGAACAAAACGTTCGGTAATTATTGCTGGTTAAATTGTAACTTATATAACCACAAAGGAAAATAATTTGCAGATATTTCGGTAAAAACATTACTGAACGTTATTGTAAGCTTTACCAATCATTCAGCATTATTTACAGTCCAGGTTAGTAATTTTTGACAGCTCAAGAGTGAAGAGAAATTAACCGAACGAATTGTAATTAAAAAAAAAATACCGAATCGATTACCGAATGTTCAGCTGTTCCATATTCGGTAAAAAATTACAGTATACTGTAAAAAAATATTAGTGTGTACGTTCGTCGTTTCGCTTTCTCATTATTAAAGTGAATAAATCGAACTGTTTGTAACTAAGATGATTTCGGTGGTCCTAAAATGATGAATGGGCTGCACGTAAGGAGACGTAATTGATAATTCTCCCGAATATCCTGGTAAATACACTTTGACTTAAGTAACAATAGCACAAACGAAGTGACATACGGCTAACTGGCGAAGAAATCCATTAAAATAATGTGGTTCACTGTAATAGAATTTTCTTGGAAGCTTGTGCCATCATCCACCAGATGGGTTAGTTTTGACGTAGGACTACGTCTTTCGGGAAGATGGGGGTACAATTTATGAAAAGCGAAAAATGAAATTATGAAAGATTTTGAACGTTAATAACTTAGCTGCCCCTGGACCAATTTCAATTATTTTATCACCAATCGATCAGAAACATTTCTACGCATCGATAACAATGCTCTTGACTGTTGATTTTCAAATTGAAACTATTGAAAAAGTGGTATATGTCAAACATTGTCCAAAAGCGTCGAAATAACTAACAAATCCACCATTTACGTACATGCATGTGCTGCTTCCCCAACACAGTCATCAGAGAATGGTTCCTGTGGTATCCCAACTACCCAACCGAAAGGAATAAGTAATCGTCCAGTTAATTATTACCGAGAAATCACTTGACACGGGAATCCAATTGACTCGATAAAACGTGACTTACCTAACCAAATACTTACGACTCGATGAATGCCGATACTAGGGTTGCCGCACACGGCATCCGCTGTACAGTGGTGCCATCATCACACACTAAACTATGAGGGGTAGGGTAATGCGGAGGTTAAGTCCTATGTACACCTCACAGTTCCTAGGTGAAAAAAGTCGAAGTGACATTCGCCTCCGATCTTCGGGTGTGTACGAATAGGGAGGATACAATTGCGGAACATTTTGTTGCCAATTCAGCACAGCCCGCAACGACCACACAAAATGCTGTTTTTTCCTAGGATTTGTTTTCCGTGCTGAGCACCAATGCTACCCACACCCATGCTTGGCATACACAGTTTTGGTCACGAACTGCTCATTTGCTATAATAACTTTGCACACAGTTGACGGAACATAGTTCTTTTTGAAGCAGTAGATAGAATAGAGTGTAAGCTTGTTAAAGATATGTAAAATAAAGTAGATTTTAATGCTAGTAGTAAACTGTATTTGTTTTTGCGTTGTAAAAATGACGTGAGAAATGCTTACTACACATCTCGGAATTTAAGTGTTAAATTGATTAGTGTTGATTGGCTTTAATGTTTAATCTTCGCATATCTATAGTAAACTATGAGCCTAATCTATCAATTACTTTAAAGAAAAATAAATTTCAACATTTGAGTGAAAAGTTATTACCAAATGAGCAGTTGGGAGTGTTCAACTGTGCATACCCACACCTGGACCCTACTTATCGACCCATCAACTCATGAACCGGGAACCCCGAAGGAAGGCGTGATCAGAGATGTTATGCCTCAGAACTTCCCGGCAGCGTTGACTGGGATTGAACCCATGCCTGCTGGGACGCTTGCCACTACACCACGGGCGCCGCTGCTCTCAGAGTTGTCATCTTGTAACCAAACATGGAAGCAGGGGATAGTCAATATAAATTCTATTCTCTTTTCTGAAATGTACTTGGTGGCCCTGAAGAGGGCCGTTTTGTTGCATTGGTGATAAGTTTTCTCCTCCGAAACCGTACAGAAAACGTCCCTGTCGCTTCATAGCGTAGACGACATCCATGGCCGTGACGGTTTTGTGCTTGGCGTGTTCTGTATAGGTGACGGCATCGCGCATATTGTCAGCACATCTCGGGTTTCCTCGAAGATCAGACCGGAGACACTTGACATAACCACGTCGAGCCAGACGACGAATGACAGGCTTGGCAGTACCCTTGATTTTTCACCTAGAACCTTCCGATGACGCTTGGCGCCTCCTTTTCCGAACACTTAACACTTGTTTCTCGTTGAACGGGTGAATCGAAACTGAGCCTAAAGCGAGACTTTTTTGAGAGAGACTTTAAATTATCTATATTTCTTGAATTTGTGTGGTTTACATGTATAACTTATCAAGTGACACAGATGCGTCTTTTCAACTTTAGTTCCTGTGAAATTTCAATTATTATTAATTACAGTTCCTAGTCCTATCAGGCCTGTTTTAGAGAATGACCACCTTGGTGGGATTGGTTTGCTTGAAAATTTGAAAAAGAAGACTACTTATAACTACTATTTACAACTACAACTAACCTACAACTACTATATACACCTAATCTACTATATACAAATTGCTTATCAAAGCATGTTCTGGTAAATTACATTTTTGTGCAAATTTAGTCTTAATTTCGTTAATTCTGGAATCTATTTTGGCAATGCCTGCCTCTTCGTGTAAATTTGTTATTCTAGTGTCAAAAGGACGATCAAGTACCATCCTCAGCACTCTATTCTGAGCGACCTGGATTTTGTTCCTGTGAGTCTGTGCACATAATTCCCACACCGGAGCTGCGTAGAGGATCGCAGGTGCTATGATTTGTTTGTAGACGGCCAGTTTGTTCACCCTTGAGAGGCGAGATCTGCGGCAAATCAGCGGAAACAGACACCTAACCAAGGCAGAACACTGACACCTAACCAAGGCAGAACACTTGACTACTGTTTTCTCTACATGCGAACGGAAGAGGAGCTTTTCATCGAACAACATCCCGAGATAGGTTACTTCGGCGGACCACTCAACCCTTGTGCCATCCATGATTACAGTACAAGATGGAGCCGGTTTCAGTTTGGGCGATTGCCGATGGAGGAACATGATCGCTTGTGTTTTGGTGGCATTGATTTTGATTTTCCACGTGGTGGCATAATCAGCAAAGGCGTTAAGGCATCGTTGAAGTTTGTTCGTTATTTCGCGAGGCATCCTTCCTTTGACGGCTATTGCGGTATCATCTGCGAACAGGAAAAACACGCAACCGTCACCGAGGGGAGGAATGTCGGAAGTGTAAATGCTGTAAAGCAAGGGGCCCAGCAGACTGCCTTGCGGGACTCCTGCTGGGATGGAAAACGTGTCTGAAAGACAACCATTCAACGATACCTTAAACGACCTTTGCTGAAGGTAGTTTCGGGTGATTTTAACCAGATGTAATGGGAAGTTGAAGTTACAAAGCTTGTACACAAGTCCGTCATGCCAAACATTGTCAAACGCCTTTTCAACGTCTAACAAGGCCATGGCTGTGGACTTGGATACAGCTTTGTTACTTCGGATGTTATTCATCACCCGTACTAGCTGATGATTGGTGGAGTGCCCCTTTCTGAATCCAAACTGTTCCGGAAGGAGAATGTTATTTTCCTCGACAAACTTGAGCAAACGATTGAGAATGAGTTTCTCGAACAATTTGCTCAGCGCTGAAAGGAGGCTGATTGGTCTGTAGCTTGAAGGCAATGTTGGATCCTTACCGGGCTTGCGGATTGGTATGATTTTTGCTACTTTCCAGATGCTTGGAAAGTAGTGCAGTTCCAAGCATCTGTTGAAGATAGCGGTTAGAAGAGACT